AAGCAACTCCATGACAGCGGCCCGCTGCTGGGAGATGCATATCTCCTAGCCTGAGCTCCATGGCCTCGGGTCTCAGGCTGGGAGACCCTTCTCTCCCAGTCTGAGCCCCATGACCATGGAGCTCAGGATGGGAGATAAGCATCTCCCAGCAGCGGTCCCACAGTCATGGAGCTGCTGCTGGGAGATAAGGGTCTCCTAGCCCAAGCCCCATGACTGTGGAACCAGCACTGGGAGCTCCCTGCTGGTGGAGGTAGGGGAGCTAGGTGGGGAACAAGCTGCCCAGCCCTCACCCTGCATGCCTGGGTAGGAAAAATGTCCCACTGCCCTAGCAGCAGGGATCTTCCAGTCCCTGTTCACTACTTTGCAGTCATGGAGCTGGGGCTAGGAAGAAGCTAGGAGCTTGATCCTAGCCCCCACTCCGCGATCGCAGTTGTGATCGTGGAGCAGGGGCTGGGAGCTCCCTGCACAGGGACAGTTCTCTGCCCAGTCTGGAGCTGGCTGGGACCCGCCCCTGCCTGGGACAGTTCCCAGCAAGCCCCAAGCTGCACAGGGAAGCACATGCAGCCTGGAGGTGGTTGGGGACTGTTTCAGGAAATCCCCAGTGAGCTCCAGGCTGCACATACTGACTTCCTTGTGCAGCCTGGGGTTGGCCAGGAACTGTCCCAGGCAGGGGCAGGTCCCAGCCCCATGCCCCAATTGAGTGATCAAGGTACGGGGCTTGAAGAGAGCTTCAGGAGTGGGGTAGGTGACAGCCCCCTGCACCAATCTGTTGGTGGGCCAGCTAGCAGTGAGCTAGCTGCTAGCTGCCTCACTGGCATATTGGGACGGGGGCTGGGACCTGCCCCACCCCTGCAGCTCTTTCCAATCCCCATACCCCTGATTGGGAAGCCAGGGCCAGGAGCTCCCTTTTGTTGGGGCAGGTGGACATTGTCCTTGCCCCAGCATCAGGTAGCCTTCCAGGGCCAGGAGATAGCTGTCTCCTGGCCCACTGCTCTCTGCTAGCCGCTGGACTAGTTTCTGCTGGTAACAGCAGGGGGCCGTTGCAGGACTGCAGACATCTGAGAGGAAATCTTCTCCCTAATCCCTGCATGTGTAAACACCTACCTAAAACCCCTTACTTTGCAGTAGCTTACTGCTCAGTAAATTTAGGCTGGAGTAAATGCATGTGTAGGCGCACCCTCTGTCAGGTGCTGGGGTAGATATTTAGCACTGTTTAATGGCAGTATTGTTGCCACACTTCCTCTCACTTGCTCTTCTTTTGCTTTCATGACTCTTTACTTTTGGCTGTCCTTTTGGCCAGCTTCACCGGACGTAGAGTAGCCGTAGCTCCACAACCAGTCTTTTTGGAGGAATGGCACCTAGGGCACAGTAAATGGGAGATGTAGTTTTGGACACTGTCAAAGTATAGAGGGACTAGAACCCAGTTATCTTATGTCCTAGGCAAGGGTTTTTTCCATCATGCTATTGAATAGTATGTGGGCACCAGCACCACCTTCTGCTGTAGGGACTGTGTTTTGTATAATGTGTTCAGTATCAAGCAGTCACTTAGCATCATCTGTCATGATCTTCACATGGTCTAAGGAACTAAGGACTCAAGCAGAGTTTACGTGCCTCCCAGCACTACTTTTTGTGTACCTAGTGCTTGATCTGAATTGCTTTTGAGCATGCACCATAGCTGAAGTCTAGGTGCAGAGAGGTCTTTGCAGGATAAAGTGGAAGTGCCATAAGAATCTGTGTGCCTAAGGCTAAGTACAGACAGTCAGAAAGCCTGAGGCTGAATCAATTCAAACTTCACAGATTAGTATAAGGTGCATAAATTGAACCAATAAGCAGGTGAACAGACATTCACTTTTGATTCTAGAAATGCAGCCACATGCCTGCGGTGACCCAGACTAGAAGCCAGTATTAGGGAAGCTAGAGCATGCCTTCCGTCTTGGCTGGAGCATACAGTTTGGCCCAGGGTTAGCCTGTCCACCCTGTGAGGGATGGTTTGTGGGGGAGGTGCAAAGCATCTTGGGATGCTGGGAGACTGTGAGTTAACTTGAACTTGGAGGGGATCTGGGACAGAAGTTCAATAAACAGATTTAACTTAAATCAGTTAAGTCTGATACTATATCCATCAACGTTTATCTTAAACTAGTTTTAGCCATTTTGAAAGAAGTTTATGTGCATTAAATTTCTGTTGTGTTACAGATTTGAACTGGTTTCTAATGACTTATATCAGTTTATGTGTAATTTCTGTCCTTAGCCTAAGCGATTTTTAGGAGGATTTTGTGAGGTTGTTTTGAGGCAAGTAGAGAGTCGGGTCATTTTAGATTACTCTTCGTGATTTAGATGCTTATTTTCTGCCTTGGTCTTATTTAGTTGCATTAAAGGTCAGTTAAATCTGACCCTATCCTTCACATATTAATCTAGCTGTGTGTAATTGATGCTGTGAGGAAGAACCAAAAAAAGCCTCAGCCAATTTTGGCATCAACTGACAAAAAACATTTCTTGACACAAAAACCAAGCAATCTGACCCACAGAATCCTAAAAACACAGCACTTAAATGACAGTTAAAGAGACTGAGGAAAGGGCAGTAAGGCAGATCAAGAGACCCAAGACTCCTGGGCAAGCATTTCAGTGAATTGTGCATGAGGAGGAATACAGGCTAATCAGTTTCAGTTAGTGGATTGGTGCTCAGGATGAATCAGCTCCCCAGTCCCTCTGACTGGCCAGTGGGAAGGAGAAAACTTTGACAATTCCTACATTACACAGTGTGACTTCACCCCCCTCCTTCTGTTGGCTATTCTTCACCCACAGTGCAATCATTTTCCCACTTGAGGAAGTGCACTGGAGGGAATGTGCCTGGCCCCAGTGTGGAAGACAAACGGATTAGAAAGAGAGAGAACTCAGGCAGAGTTTCCTGGGCTTGCTCTCTTTTTCCACATGTGCCCATGGCCCTTAGGCATGCACTTCTTTAGATTTCAAGTTTGGGGAGGAATTCTTTCCTTAGAATTTGTTTTATGGTCAAAGAAAAGTTGTTTCTTCATCAACATATGGATGCCTGATTCCCTTTCTCACCATTTGTAACACTGAAACCTTCTTAAATGGTTATCTAAGCTAAGTAACATCTATTGCAAAGCTAAGGTTACACTTCTTTGTTTATCCACAATGTTAAAGAAGCGAGACAATGGATGTTTTGGCAGATCAAGCTTCCCATTCAGAAACTGAACTGATAGAGCCAGGAGAAGAATTGAGGTAATCCTTGTGGTTTTGTGCCAGGCTAGTTGTACCTTTCCCTTGATTTTTAGTGTGTTCAGTTTATAATCACCATTATGTGTCTTATTGTAGTGTGTTTGCTTGCTAGAAGCTGTAGATATAGGTTGTTGGTGGTCAGTATTATTCTGAAGGAGTCTGTGGGAATTTCATTTTCTTCTCTAGGAATCCAATTACTACCTCATGGAAGGCATGAACAGACATTCATTTTAATGACTCTTTTATCAAAGCATGTGGCTAAGTTTTCAGCCCTAGAGAAAACTTTGCTTTGTCTCAGTACAGTCTTTTAGAAATGTAATGCTGTTAATAACATAAGACTCTTCATAATGAGTTTGCCTCTGGTAGGTCTCTCTCTTTTAATACTAATTAAAATTTGGCTTTTTGTTACATTTAATCACCATTGACTCCTTCTTCTTCTTAACTAATTTCATTGAAAAGTATAGGACTTAGTTATAGGTAGTGGCTTAAAAATTCCATTTCCACTTAGGTTAATGCTGTACAATTCTGTGGCAATTCCATTGTTGCTGGAGGGGTGCCAGTTATAACAGAATAGGCCTAATCAATGAATAAAATTCATTTTTAAAAATTTCTTATTGATAGTTTTCTGTAAGGGTACTGTTATCCAAGTTATTCCTCTTTTCCTATTTGGCTTTTTTGAAATACTGCAAAGTAAGATTATGACATTAAGTGGTGATGGTCAGTTTATGGTATGAATTTTATGATGAGTGTGCCTGAGATAATCCAGGAGATCCTTTCTAGTGCTGTTCTTAAAATACAAATGTGCTACAGAAACCAAGTAAATATTTAAGTAGAAGTTAACTTAAGTCCTTCTAACAATTTTATTCTGTATCTTAATGGAATGACTTGTTTTTAAACCTCCTTTTAACTTTGGCCAATCCTCTTTGTGTCAATTCTCTATTTTTTCCTCCTTCCATCATTGTGTTGGTGCCATAATTTAGGTTAAAAGAAGGGAAAATATTTTACAGAAAATCTTTAGGTTTACTTTGAATCAGTGTATTTTTGTTAACTAAACTTTCTGCTGTTCTATTCCAAGAGCCAAATATTTTATAGCCTATGATTCCACAGTATTTCTAACAGCACAAATGTTAGAAATAAATGCATTCTCACCCTGTGCTAGTTGGGCTGTACACGGCTTCATCAGTCAGAAATTTGACTGCTTCAATTGTATGAAGACATCCTTTGTTCATGGCCTATATACATGACCTTTTTGCTGAAGTTAACTATTACAGCTGATATCAATAGACTATAATTAGAACGTATTGAGGTTGTCATAATTTACCGTGGGCCTTATTCTGCAAACCTTTGCTTAAGCAAGTAGTATTATTAAAGTTGATGTAGTCTGTAAGAGCTACTGAGCTACTCATGTGAGTGAGAATTCAGAATCAGGCATTTTATTAACTTTAACTAGGATTAATTTGTAAGCAAATTTATATTTTTATTAGAGAATTGGTGCACTGATTAAGAAAACAATACCTTTTTTTACCCAGAAATTGCACAATAACAGGCTATAGCATGTATAATCATTATTGAGACATTGAAAACATTTCAGCCCATTTATCAATAGTTTGAATCTGTATGTTATCAAGAAGCGAACTCAGAAAAGTTGTTCAAAATGTATTTAACAATGATTTTTCTCCAAACCAGTACCCATAATGCAGCATATTTTATAACTAATAGAAAAGCTAAAGGTCAACTGAGATGCTTTTTGACTAACATTACAGGAATTGTGAAGCAGCAGATAGACAGCCATATCAAAGATCCAGATCAACAGAACAACGTCCTGTATTAGAGCGGACCAACTCCCGCTCCCGATCCACAGAGCGTCCTGACTCAAACCTCATGAGGTCGATGCCTTCATTAATGACTGGAAGATCAGCCCCTCCTTCACCTGCCTTATCGAGGTGAAACAGACAAATCAATCAGACTAATCCCCTTCTGCCCCACCAACGCACCATTTTATTTTCCCAGTAGCTAATTGGTATCGCCTTCCATCCTTGGCTGATCACTAGTAGTAGTAGATACTAACCTTGTCAGTGCCAACACACTATTTATATTCAGCTGTGGATATAATGGTGTGGCTGCCATTGTAATTTGTTTACTAACAGTATTTAACTACATTTGTTTTGTGACTTCTCATTTATCAGGAATCCTGGGTGGTTTCCCACATAAAGCACTTCATAACTATCATATTCTTCTCTTACAGAACGAAAAATTGTTTGTGTCCATTAGACATCGCTTATGGAACAACCATCATAACATTAAATGAAACTATTTTTTTTAAAAAAAGTTTCTTTAAATGGATTGTACTAACTTTGTGTTAACCACCATTTTCTCTGACTACATTTTACTGTGCCATAGTCTGTTTTGTTTCTGTTTTGAGTATTTTTATTGATGAAGTATGTAATAATTTCTGTAAATTAACATTAGTAAAAGTAAAGATTATACAAATATATATATGGAGTTAATTTGGTTGAGTAGGAGGTTGAATTAAACTTATTCGAGTACCATGAAATGTGCTTTTTTGTTTTCTGAAAGTGAATTATATTCAGGCCCTAATCCTGATGTCATGCCTCTATTTTTGTTATTTCACTTTTACCTAGTCAGGCTCAAGGAATTCATTGTTTATTCAATAGGAGCTTACCTGAGTATAAACTGAGTAAAGATATTACAATTTGGCTTATAGATGGTTTTGTTCATATGTGTGCAATATATTCATGTATGCATGAATATTCACATGAAGACAATATGCAGATTTAGCTATATATACATCTATCTTATTGATGTTGAGTTTTATTTTGGCTTTTTTCAAACAGAAATTTCTCTTTTTAATTAGGTCTTTGTGTGAAAAAAGACAGCAGTTTCACTACAGTATCACAAGCGCACCAAAAACAATCTTATTTTTATCAGCTCTCATGGGTATCTAACAATGAATGTGGCTTTTAATGGCCATGGTTTGTTTTGATGTGTGTCCTGTAGGTCACATCCCCGAACTGGGTCTGTCCAAACAAGCCCATCAAGCACTCCAGTAGCAGGACGAAGGGGCAGGCAGTTACCCCAGCTCCCACCGAAAGGGACAATGGAGAGAAGTAAGTGTGTTTTCATTTAATGGGACTTCAGAATTGCTAGGGGAGTTCAAAAATGAAGGAAGGTTTGGTTATGATTTACTATTGAGGGAATAGAACTTAAAATTCTTCTTTGGATCATTTCAGGAGTGCCAGTTGTTTTGTATTTTATATTGTCATTTGATACTTTTAGTCTGTTTCATTATCCCTTATTGTCTTAAATGATGCTAATATATATCATCAAAGCAACACAATAAACAGAGACCAAAATGTACTATGTACTGACTCAATCCTGTTCCTACTCTATTAATTTCAGTATGAGCCAGAGAAAGTCCTATACATATTGTTTAGCATTTTATTAATAAAATTCTCACTATACTGGAAGTTAACAGCATAGCAGAATCTTTTGCAGGGTCAGGATCAATGTGTGTTAGCTGATAAATAAAAAGCATGTGCACAGTAAATAAAAATCACCCAAAACACAGGGTGATTATCAGATGCACAAATATGGTAATGCCTCTTGAAACAATAAGGAACAACTAAAAAGGGTAATTAAAAAAATGTCAGTAAGATATTTGGTGTTGCACATTGGACTGAACCTGTCATTGCTTTTATTTTCAGTGAAAACCTTATTTCAGTTAGGGGGAAAAATAATATTGCAGAGTCTTATAAGTTGTAGAAATCATTTTTTTTGCCATCAAATGTGCTTTCATCTTTTCTATTTGTAGTACTTAAATGTGCTTTGCAAAACCCACCAATGACCATATACACTGGTTTTTTCGTACAAAGATGCATATTGTACCTTTTATAAAATTTCAGTTGTTTTTAACCCCTGTGCTTTGGTTCCCTTTTTTGTTTTATTTTTATTTTCCCTAGACAATGGAGACAAGGAGATAGAACCTTTTGAAGGTCTGTACATAAAGGAGGGTTTGTTTTCTGCTTGAAAGTCTTTTTGGGAGACTGTATAAGCAAAAAATAAATCCAACTGCAATTGATGTTGCTTGGTTGCATAGACTTGTTTTAGATCAGCAGAAGGATTTTTGTGATAATTGTCCAATCACACTTTTTTCAGTTCTGTATTAAACAAATTTTACAGTGGTTTCTCCTAAAAACTTACAACTTTACTTTAGAAAACAATACCTAGATATGGTCCTGACTCAAGAAGATACATATATACCTGACTTTAAGCTCATGAGTAGATGCACTGAAATATGAGAGGACTTAAATACATGGAATCGTACCTTACTGAATCCGGGGTAATATGTTACGGTATATTATGATATACTGTACTATATTATAATAGGGAGCTCTCCAGATTCTATTAAATTAGCCCCTAATCCTGCACAAATTTACATATGTGTATGTTTACTTCTGTTAGTTGTCTCATTGAAGGCAACTTGACAATTCACCTACATGATGTTAAATGTAAAAGGCCAAATCCCATTAGGCACCTAAGTGGCACTTTGGCATCTAAGTATCTAAAGTGCAATCTACTCTACCCTGCTTGAGTCCCCCCCAAAAATGTTAATATGAAAGCTCCTTCTCCTCCTCACTGTTTGTTTTTTCTGACTTAGTGTAAGGGCTAAGATGAAGGTGCGTTTCAAAGTGAGTGTGTTAAGGTTTCATCAAGGAATTGAACATACTGGAATAGGATCTCACTTAAAGACCTTAATAACTGATGCATTAGCACTTTGGTTAAGTATCTATATTGCTGCTTTCATGATCAAGAATTTCTGCACATATTTAGATTTAAGCACTTTGAGTAATCCTTTTAACTTCAGTGTGGTGACTCAGTGTGCTTAATGATATGCATATATGTAAGGATGTTAGGCATAGATGTAAGTTTTTACAAGATGCCTTATTGTGTGCTGCAAAGAGCAACACAACGTTATTTTGTTGTCTAAAGTAATTGCTGAGCTTTTTGTCATACCCACTGGTGCTAGAAGTAAATAATTCTTGAATCAGAGTAGATGTGTTTTAAAAAGTTATTCTTTTTTCTTTGAGAATTAATCTCAAATGCATATGTGATAAAAAAAAAATGAATACCAATTGTATTAACCCCATCTAAGTTCCTTCATGATGAACTAAAAGATATCAATTGCAGTCCTTGTTTATGTCACTGAAGGTTTATATGTAGTATTACTGTACCTGTCTCATCAGATTTTTTATTTAGTGCTTATGGTCCTTATATCAATTTGGAATTAGAATTTCATTAATAAAGAAAACGGTGTTTTCTGGGATCATCTTCCTATTATGCACTTTTCTGCATCGAGTTTTGTGTTGTGTAAGTGCTTATATTAAATGTAATCTGGACATGCCAGGAGATAATCCAATATACTAACATAGGCTAAGTACAGACATTCAAAAAGCTTGAGGTGCAATTAATTTAAGTTACACTGTTTTCTGTAAGTGGCATAGGCTAGATCAGTAGTGAACAGAATGCACATTCATCCTTTGGTGGGGGGGGCATGCAGGCTGCCTGCACTAGCTAAGGCCAGCAGGTTGGGGGCACTCCTGCACATCTCCCAGCAGGCCCTGCAGGCTCCCTGGGCTGCCAGAGACTACTGGGCACAGCCAAGCAGCCGGGCCACTGCTGATTGACTGCTGAGAATGGGTGAACATTTCCCCTTCCCCCTGCTGCATTGCCTATCAACCACAGGCATCTGTCAGCTGGAGGCTGCAGCACGGGGGAGGGGAGAAGGGTGGCATTAGTGTCCCTGCATGAACCCCGTCACAAAGCACCCCACGATGTATACACAGACCTGACACTAAGTCCAGGAGAGCCCCTGCGAGCAGGTGCAGATCTGTGAGGCTGCTAGGCATGGGCAAGCAATTCCTCCCCCCTGCCACCCATCCCCTCACCACTGCACTACCTGCCTGCAAGATGACATGGCAGAAGGAGGGGGATGCTCGCCTGCACCCAATAGCCCAGTTAGGCTCCATGGGGTCGCGTCCACTCATGGGGGTTTTCCTGGGCTCAGTGTCAGGTCTGCATATACACTGGGGGTACTTTGTGTTGGGGTGAGGGTAGTACTAGCATGCCTCCTGGGGCAGAGGCAGCAGGTGTCTGCAAAGGAGCCTAGGAAGCCAGTGGACAGTGACCTAACTTGAATAGATAGGGGAACTGGGAGTGAAGTTTGAGGCACCGGTCAGTCTAACCTAAATTGATCATGTTTGAGTGCACATCAATCCAGGTCTATTTTAGACCAGGGTCTGCCATTTTTAGACCGGGCTATGTGCACCAAACTTCTGTTTTATTATGGGTTTAGACTGGTTTTCAATAACTTAGACCGATAAAAGTGCAATGTCTGTACCTGGCCATAACGTTTGTTGCCGTTGATCACTATGCTTATACATTTTATTATTTTCCCCTACCTTATGTGTGTCTTACCTGTTTAGATTGTAAGTCCTTCGGGGCAGTGATTGTCTCTTGTTTCATGTTTGTACAGTGCCTAACATGACGGAGCCCTGCTCCTAGTCATCTCTATGAAAATCATGATAAGTATTTGTAACATACTGTATTTAGGAGAAATCTAGATTTCCTAAATGTGGTAAGTACTGTTGTTACATAAGAAGTGAAATTGTTGGTATAAAAACTTAAAGAGCTATTTGATTACTGTACAGGAAGCTACAAAGTAGATTTTCATAACATGTGGTTTCCAGAAAGCTGTAAAATGCATAGATATCAGATTTTACTATGCAAGCAAAGTATGATTACATGTTCAAGTCAGAATGGCTAAACCTATAGCACCATAAGTTTTGTGCATATTTTCTTTTTGTAATTTGTGAAGAAAAGTGTAATAATATTAAAAGAAATCCATAGAATAAATATTAAGGTATTAATTTTATAAACTATCATTCATATTTCATAATGTTCAGCCATGGAATCTTAGACTCAATCTTCTATATAGTTTTCTTTTATATGTCATGAGTAGCTGACATTCTATTCATGAACCAAGTATGTCCGTTGGTTGGCTCATTCTGTTCTTCTCTGGGGTGGTCACTGCTTGTTCAGAGGCCACACTCTTGACAAATTACAGTGAGTGGTAAGTAAGCTCTGCCAATGACTCAGCAAAGGTGCATTTTCTGTATTGTCATTCTTTGTGACTGGACTGGAGAGGAAGATTGCATTCTCAAAAATATTGTATGCATTTGTAATTATAAGTATAAAAGGGGCTGGTGGTATCTGCATCAACTTAACTTAAAACTGGTGGAACCTTAAATATCAACTAAAGTCAGCAAGTTACTTAATTAACATAACTGAACAGAAAATTGAGGTAAGAGAACAAGTTTAAAGAAAAATAGAAAATAATGCCTGAAACTGGATGGGTATTCCATGGATTATTATTTAACATTATATTTATTGTGAAAGTGCTATAAAGCAGAGTCAAGGCTCGGAAATTTGCGTTAAGGGCTGTACTGACCTCTAGAAAAATACCATCCTGCATTTACCCTGTAACCATTGTAGATACCTTTGCTTACATCAGTAGGGCTATTCAGAACGCACAAAGATAGACGCATGCATAAATTTTGATATTGATCAGTGTGGCTTATTATCCCTATAGGAGCCCCACTGAAATAAGTTGCCCAACTGGGGGGAAAGGAAGATAGCATGTAGCTATCCAGACAAGTTACATATTTTTGATAAAAAAGCAACTCTTTAGGTTTATCTCAAGCAAAAATTCAGTTTAAAAGAAGAAACGTAGATCTTTCTTTTTTGTCTTACAATTACACTGTTTTCATTAGGTATAAAATAAAGCCACCTAAGAAGAACAACAATTATAGACTCTTTAGTTTGAACTTATTTTCTTTCCTGAGAGGGTAGATTATCTCTGTCATATTACTGTATATAATTCAGTAGCAATTCTGTCATTTTACCTGCTGGTTGGACTAAGATGACCAGAAATTCTAAAGCCAATGGGGCAGACAAGGGCCAGTCTCTCTCTCCTTTCCATCCTACTGGATCTTAGGAAAAGTATTGTTTTCTGTGTAGCCTGGTTATGTCACCTTGCTGGGGTCACCTG